GGACATATTTCGGGCATTCTGGTACAGAGGGTATACGTTGGTCGCAACGAATGTCCCCGAGTTGAGACTAACGAGCGAGTTCCACAGTCGAACCAGAATGACAGGAGGCGTTGAAAGTGGCAACTGCACCTGGAAGCTGGATGGCGCCAGATTTAGAGACGCTGGTTCATTTTACTTGAAAATTGACATTCCACAACTTAATAGCTTCTCCTTCTCAAACAATAAGGTGACCCTCAATGTTCTCCGTGAGTATATTAGAGACCTTTTCAGTAATTCTATACCATTTACTTTAAGATAGTAAAACATGCTTAAATCACTATTTAACAAGTGATTTTATGAAAATTGTTGATTTGTACAGGACTTCCTAAGCGTCCCGTGATGACTATAGAAGTCAGTAATAAAGTGACTGCCACCTGCAAAGTTACTCACATCTGTCCAACATCTCCTCCACAAATTTCCTGGAGCCGCTCAGGAACCTCTACAGTGATGCCAAAACAGGAGAATGAAAGGATGTGGTCAATAACGTCAACCATCACCTTCACCCCTCAAGAAGCCGATTTTAGGAAGGGTTTAGAATGTACGGTGAGATTCCACAACAGTAAGACTGCAAAGGGCTCTGTGCTTCTCACCAGGAAGAGGAATCCAAGAATGGAGTACTAAATTAGAGCAAAATCTTGTTAGCTATCTGCCATAATGACAGTGATTTGGCAGAAAAGGCCTGAATTAGTAAAACTACAAAAAAAAAAAAAAATTACATTCAGAGAGACAAGAAATTCTTATTGATGCATGCTTTGATTCATATCATCTTCTGAGTTTAACTTTACCTAAATCTTTTGTTAGAAGAACAAAAGTTAGGAGTCTTTTTTATCTTTAATGGTTTTCTAATAGGATCTATGGAATAATCTTGTTTTGCTGGTTTCTTTCTTTTACTCTTCATCAACTGTAAGACGATACACTGACTATTAAATGTACGTCATACTCTAAGTCTACAAGTTTTCCTTTTCTTTTGTATTAAATATTTCATCAAAGTGCTAAGATTATAACATTTGTGTGTTTATCTCTTAACTTTTGTCTCAGTTATCTGGAGTGTGTGAAGTGGGGGACTGTCATGGCTGCAGCCTCCCATTTGGGGTGAAAATTAAACTTTTTATTTAGCACTTAAAATAGACCACAAAGAACCTTCATCAACAGAAGAACTGCACAAATAGCAACAGAAGTAAT